GCTCAAACTTGGGATCTTTAGAATTTGGGGTGTATGTGTGTTTTGTTGTGACATCTTTGTTGAGAAAAAGCTAATTTATGTATAGGAATATGGAAGAAAAAGATGTGTATACGGAAGATGGAACTGTTGATATTCACAAAAATCCTGCCAACAAGGAGAAAACTGGAAACTGGAAAGCTTGCCGCTTCATTCTCGGTAACGTTCTTATCGTTTCACCAAACCTTTTTTTTCCTTTCATCATCGGCTTATAGGATGAACAGGACCAGCTGATGCAGTGGCCTCAGGTCCCCTGTTTTGATTAGGTCCACTAGAAAAAAAACATTTACAATGTAAATAATAAAAGTAATGATGATTAAAAAGCGGGGTTTATATACACGTTAAATAAAGAAAAGGAAATTGAACGATAGCGAGAACAAATTTTAAAATTATATTGGAAGATGTTGAGTTTGGTTGGTGTTATCTTAAACAAAGTCTCAAATTTCTTTTTAATTTTTTTTTGGTATCCATATATAGAAGATTGATCAGTTTTTGCGTTTGTTTAAAATCTTGTTTAGGAAATGAGTGCTGTGAAAGATTGGCCTACTATGGCATGGGTACTAACCTTGTGAATTATCTTGAGAGTCGTCTTAATCAAGGCAATGCTACGGCTGCAAATAACGTCACTAATTGGTCTGGAACATGTTACATAACTCCTTTGATTGGAGCCTTTCTAGCTGATGCTTATCTTGGGCGATATTGGACTATTGCAACCTTTGTTTTCATCTATGTTTCTGTGAGTTTCTTTTTTTACTTGCTCTGTTTTAACTAGACTCCTCCCATGGGTTGATTAAAATGTGAATCCTTTTGGTGAAACTAAACTAATCAAGTTTGTTTTTTACCTCTTTAAGGGTATGACTCTTTTGACATTATCAGCTTCAGTTCCTGGACTTAAACCAGGTAACTGCGATGGCAATACTTGTCATCCGAATTCGGGACAGACGGCTGTTTTCTTTGTCGCGCTTTATATGATTGCGCTTGGAACAGGCGGTATAAAGCCGTGTGTTTCGTCCTTTGGGGCGGATCAGTTTGATGAGAATGATGAGGCTGAGAAGGTCAAGAAGAGCTCTTTCTTTAACTGGTTCTACTTCTCCATTAATGTTGGAGCTCTCATTGCTGCGACAGTTCTTGTCTGGATACAAATGAACGTTGGTTGGGGATGGGGTTTCGGTGTTCCAACAGTCGCCATGGTCATTGCGGTTTGCTTTTTCTTCTTGGGAAGCCGTTTCTACAGGCTTCAGAGACCTGGAGGGAGTCCTCTTACACGGATCTTTCAGGTTATAGTTGCAGCTTTTCGGAAGATACGTGTTAAGGTTCCAGAGGACAAGTCTCTGCTCTTCGAAACCGCAGATGATGAGAGTAACATCAAAGGTAGCCGGAAACTCGTGCACACTGATAACTTGAAGTAAGAAACAAAAGTCTCCATATTTAACAATATAAAGTTTTAATCTCTAACTCTGTTTTCTAATCAAGGTTTTGAATATATATCTCAGGTTCTTTGACAAGGCAGCTGTTGAGAGCCAATCTGATAGCATCAAAGACGGGGAAGTGAATCCGTGGAGACTCTGTTCTGTTACTCAAGTTGAAGAACTTAAGTCCATAATCACACTTCTTCCAGTTTGGGCCTCGGGGATAGTCTTTGCCACAGTGTACAGCCAGATGAACACAATGTTTGTCTTACAAGGAAACACATTGGACCAACACATGGGAAAAAACTTTGAAATCCCATCAGCGTCACTCTCACTCTTCGACACTGTCAGTGTACTATTCTGGACTCCTGTCTACGACCAGTTCATCGTCCCGTTCGCAAGAAAGTTCACACGCCATGAACGAGGCTTTACTCAGCTCCAACGTATGGGTATAGGTCTTGTGATCTCCATTTTTGCCATGGTTACAGCAGGAGTTCTGGAGGTTGTCAGGCTTGATTATGTCAGAAGTCACAATGCGTATGACCAAAAACAAATACCAATGTCCATATTCTGGCAGATCCCGCAGTATTTACTTATCGGTTGTGCAGAAGTTTTCACCTTTATAGGACAGCTTGAGTTTTTCTATGATCAGGCTCCTGATGCCATGAGAAGTCTCTGCTCTGCTTTGTCATTGACCACGGTTGCGTTAGGGAACTACTTAAGCACAGTTCTTGTGACTGTTGTGATGAAGGTAACGAAGAAGAACGGTAAACCGGGTTGGATACCGGATAACTTGAACCGAGGTCATCTTGATTACTATTTCTACCTGCTGGCAACTCTAAGTTTCCTCAACTTCTTAGTATACCTCTGGATTTCAAAACGCTACAAATACAAGAAAGCTGTAGGTCGAGCACACTGATGAAGAAACTGGTGTCAAAGAGAGTTGAAGTTATCAGTGTTTGTTTAGATTTGGTTTGAAAAGTGTTTTGCTTGTAAATGTTCTATAAGTGTGGTCTAGTTGCTGGTGATTTAGGTTTGCTCTGGTTTTGGTTTTGCTCTGCCTCTGCTTTTATGTATTTCTGGAATATTCACTTGTATGTAAAATGCTTCTTGGATTAAGGAAAAGGTTGGGCCTATCTTGAAACAGTTTCGGGTTTGTCTGAAAATGAGAAAAAGGCCTCAAATCTTAAATAACACGTGGCATCTTTTATCCGACCTTATATATAAATATTTCAACTTGCCATCTCTTTCTCTCTCTCATTGCTTCTTCTTCTTCATAGCTTCGTAATCTTCTCTTGAGACTTTCGCATCGCTGCAATTATTATATGTCCATCACGGAACCAAGTGAATTTTAGGGTTCTTCTGTTTCGAATTTTGATCGGAGATGGAACGAATGAGCAACGGAGGAATGTTGTATCACGAGGTCCAAGAGTCGAATCTGTGCGCCGTACACTGCGTCAACACGGTGTTGCAGGGACCTTTCTTCTCCGAATTCGACTTAGCTGCCGTCGCCGCAGATCTAGATGGGAAGGAGCGTCAGGTCATGCTTGAAGGAGCTGCTGTCGGAGGGTTTTCGTCTGGGGATTTCTTCTCTGAGGAGTCGCACAATGTTTCCCTCGGCGGCGATTTTAGTATCCAGGTATGATTCGAGGTTTCTTGAATTCGTGTTTTTTTAATATATGAAAATGAAAATTCTTGAGTCGCATTCAACATTTAGATGTTGTTTTAACTTTTAAGCCCTTTTGGATTTGGTATTGTGTTCTTGGAAGTTTAAGTAAAATTAGGGTTTAGATTTGATGTTACATCTGGTTGCTGGGTTAGACTGAAGTGAAAACCTTTTGAATGCTTATCTGCGAATTTTGAAGTTTAAGGTACCAATTGAGTATATGAATGTTTAAGACCAAGTGATAATGATCGATTAAAGAAGAACTGAGATTGGTAAATGGTGAATTAGGGGACCTTTACTGAGTTATACTCATTTACCAAAGCCTAGCTTCTTTGTGCAAGCATTCTTATGCTGAGAAATGGAGGAACTTTAGATGGTATCTGTTATATAGGGACTCATGGTTTTGGATATATTAGTTATATTAGTGGGGTTTTGTATCTTTAATTACTCACTTTAGTTTTGATCTGGATTGTCTCGTGTAAGATATATCATCTATTGTTTCTTGGCTTTAAAACTAGTTTGTTGACAAGTCTTTGCCACACAAGTCAGTTTTGCTTGCAGATCATTTATTGCACTGCATAAACGATTCACATCGCAGATTCATATCTCTTGCATATTCTTTTCATTGAGAAAGCTTCTGTGTGATTGACAGGTCTTGCAAAAAGCTTTGGAAGTGTGGGATTTACAAGTGATTCCCCTGAATTGTCCAGACGCAGAGCCTGCGCAGATAGACCCTGAGCTTGAAGGCGCCTTCATCTGTCACTTGCATGACCATTGGTTTTGCATCAGGAAAGTGAATGGCGAATGGTATAACTTTGACAGCCTCCTCGCTGCCCCCCAACATTTATCGAAGTTCTACCTCTCTGCGTTCCTGGACTCTCTGAAAGGCTCAGGATGGAGTATCTTCATAGTGAAAGGAAACTTCCCGCAGGAATGTCCCATGTCGTCTTCATCTGAAGCATCCAACAGTTTTGGGCAGTGGCTTTCTCCTGAAGATGCAGAGAGAATAATAAAGAACACAAGCTCAGTGCAAGGTTCGTCTGCCAACAGAAGTAATGACAATGCTGATCAACAAAGACCAAATCAGGCATTGTCACGTGAGGAAGTGCAGGCTTTTTCAGAGATGGAAGATGATGACTTGAAGGCAGCAATTGCAGCGAGTTTGCTTGATGCTTCTGCTGCTGGGGCCAATCTGGGCGCTATGGGGGCTTCTTCTGAAAAGGAAACTGAGAAACAAAAGTAGCAGAGAAAATAGAGAACAAGTCTTATTGATGGAGGTGGGGAATATTCACATTTGTTTCTTTGTGTTGTTTTGTGATCAATTGTTTATCAACAAGTTACTTTACATACAGAACAGAGAGAAAAAAAATACTACCTTACATCTAAAGAAACCAGAGAATAAATGGTTTGTGAATTGTTTTCGACTTTGATTTCTTTTTGTTAAATCCCCATGCCAATTTTAAATTCTGACAATCTTAAAAGATTCGACCTTTTGGGATTTATATGAAATTACATCTTAAAGTTGAAAATACAGTTTTTATAGATTGTTTTTTCAACATTTTTCTAGGTGGTGAATTTACTTCAGTTGACTGTATAATAAATAAGGTTACTATTTTAAATTTGATCTTTACAAAAAAATATAGGAATGGTGTAAATTTCATTCATCTGGCCAACTTTGTTACAGTTTGAAAAAACAACACTAGCTGACTAGTAAAGAAGAAGGATAACACACTTTTAGGCTGGAAATAATACAATCGAGAGGCCAACAAACACATTCTTCTTTTTCCTTAACAGAGCATAGCCTTTTGAATTATTAAAATTCAATTTATATATATTCAAAGTTGATGGCTTTGATGATGATGACCCAACTTTAATCTCTTCGCTTCTTTTTTTTTTTTACTTTCTCTTCTCCTTTGATTTGAGCCTTTAGGATTTTCTTGCACATAATGATCTGACACATTCAGAGCATAATCTAAATATCTGGGTAACTTCTGGGATCTGAGATCATCTGAATTCTGAATCCAAGTTTACTGATCTTTCTTCCTCAAATGGGTTCTTCTTCGGACAAGCTGTTCAACAGAGAGAGAACAATACATGAGATTCTGGGAGGGAACATTGGTAAGTGAATCTGGAGTTTCCTATTATCATAAATGGTAAGTGATCTCTTTAACTCTTAACATGTTATGAAATGAATCTGCAGTTGCAGATGTGATGCTGTGGAGGAATAGGAATGTGAGTGTTGGTATAGTTACAGTGACAATAGCTTCATGGATGGTGTTCGAGGCATTTGCTTACACTATCTTCACTCTTCTTTCAAGTGTTCTTCTTCTCTTGCTCTCTATTCTCTTCTTCTGGTCCAAATCTGCATCCATTCTCAACAGGTAAAACTAGTATTATGAGTTTCCCACTAGTGATCAATATTTTACATTTCTAAATTCAGTTTCATTGGCTCTCCTTCAGGCCATCGCCACCATTACCGGAGTTTCAAATAAGTGAAGCGATGGCAGAAGAAGCATCGATATGGTTACGTATCCATGTGAACAAACTACTCCAAGTTTCGTATGACATTGCAATGGGAAAAGACTCAGAGTTGTATGTCAAATTAGCAGTCTCTCTGTTTCTCATCTCATTGATCGGAAGCCTCATGGATTTTCAGACACTTTGCCACACCAGTAAGTTCATCTCTTTATAACTTGGAATGGTTTGAGCTGGAGATTCATTGGATTTCGATTTTGGTTTGTTATTGGTTATTCTTGCAGGCGTCTTGGTGGTTATGACGGTTCCAGCTTTCTATGAGAAATATGAAGATCACATTGATGGATCTATTGTGTTTATCTGCAACAAAGTTAATGAGCTTTACCTAAGATTTGCGACATTGGGTTTTCCAGAATATAAGAAACTGAGCTGAGATGCTGTCACCTCTTTTCTTCTTCAAGAGTTTGTTTCCTTCTTCTTTAATTTTGTCTGATTTCTCAATTTTGTGGAAAGAAAAGGGAGAAAATGTAATATTTTTGTTTTGATAAAATGTTGGTAAAAGGTACACAGCCAAAAATATGGCAATCCACAGAAATTTTATTTCAACCAGTTTCACCATAAAACTGACTCTCTATTCCGAAAACAATATTCGACCAGTTCTGGCCTCTCTCAATCACCGAAATTAAGAAGACAAAAAAACAATGTAGCTCTTATTCTCTCTGCTTAAAACTTTCTGTGCCTCAGTTTCTTTTTGACGAATCGAGTTCCCGGACATACTTCTTTGCCTGGATTCAAGTATTAAGAACCAGTATTAGAAGATGAGAAAGACAACCTTGCCTGATTGATTTGAATTTGATACAATAAAGGTTATATCAGCTGTTACCTGTTCAAGGGTCAAAAACATGATGACGTTCCATGAGCCAAGGCGTCCAAAGTTGGGGATGAAACCCTTGTAAAATGCCATAGGACCCTGTAGAGGAAAACAACTCAGAAGTAAGAAACATTTTCTGGGGATATCTTTAGAACAAAACCTCCAGAGAGGGATCAGAAGCAGAGTTGCTTACATCGGTCTTCAGAGTTTTGATGAAGCAATCAATGGTGCCTTTGTAAGCCCCAGAGTCTCCCATCATTCTAGACTTAACCTGCAAAACAACAAGATTCAAGAAGAGGACCAGGAAACGTAGTGCAGTGAACAAACTCAATGTTCAATGTCATGTGTAGATATCGTACCACGTCAACAGGAGAGCCAATGCAGACAGCAAAAAATCCTGCTCCCAATCCAGATAGAATATGTGTGACAACGTTGTCAGTGAAACCCGGAATCTTCAAGATCGTCTGAGCAAAAAAAAGGATTGTTAATTAAAATATCAGGATCCTTCAGTTAGAGAAGAGAGACAGAATAATTTGTTTCATACTTCTTTCACTTGATCGTAACTTGCTAATTCAGCAGCATTGATAATTGCGTTTCTTGCTACGTTAGGCCCAAGACCAGTCCAAAGAGCTCGGACTCCTTCCTGCCAGAGCCAGATTAATCAGAATATAAGTTATGAAACATACTTAAAGCAACGTAAGCCCAATCTCAACTTCCAAGGCAGGATAATTACCTGTCTCACAATTGTTGAATACGCATTCATTGCTCCAGAATACCGTCTTGGCGCACCTGCTGCTAGTTTTCCTTCAGCCTGAAGCCTAACTTTCACAAGATCAGTGGGATTTGCTACCATGATGCCCAGTGCACCTGAGAGTTAGACAGCAACAAAAGCAGCAAAGTTAAGTGATAAAGAAGGAGACTTAAATCCCAGGTTTCTTCAATCACTATGCTCACCTGTTGTCAAACCAGCAAGAATTTTCTTGCTCAATGGAACATCACCCACAAAGTCTTTTCCAACATACAGGTTTTTCACCTGCGGTGAGAACAAAACTGGTTAAGGCTTTTGAGTAATAAGTACGAAGACACTGAGTTTAAGCATGTTTTATAGAGCATGAAAGAAGTAGATTTTGTAACCCACCGGCTCATACATTCCAATCCTTAGACCTCCAAACAGGCATTGACGATGCAATCCAGGAACAACACCTTTCCATAGTGAACGTAACCCTTCTTCCCTAGCTATGGTACCAACAGTTCCCAACAATCCTCGATATTTAGGAAGAGTAACATCTCCAGCAAGAGCAGACTTTTGGAGCTGAAGCCTAACTTTAGCAGTGTCCAACGGAATTGTGCATATCTGGTCCAGAGTTGAATTGCATAAGAGATTTTAAAACATTGTCAGGTGATGAAATAACAAGTCAATACCAATGGTGCAACTTATAAGATACAGTTTGTTCTGAGAGTAATTAACAAATACGGTGCCCAGTATAATCAATTCCACTTTCAAGTCTCATATTCATTTCAATGTTTCGAAAATAGCATATCCAAAAGCATAACTTAGCAACGTCAAAACACTGCTATAGCTATACAAATGCCTAAAACTCAATTGTGGCCACAGATCTGACCAATTAAACCGTACACAAGGAGCTGTAAATGTTTATATTCCGACTGCAGAGATCAAATCACTCTCTATCGAAGCTAAAACAAGTAATCGATTCCCTAGCTATACGATGAAACAAGAAAGATAAGCGATCAATCTGATCGGAACTTGGGAATCTTCTTTAACGAAATTCGAAATACATTTTCGCGTAAACTGGATCGCGACACAGAGACACAGTTGTTGAAGTTTAACGATACAATCGAAGAAGCATACTCAGCGAAATGAACAAAACAAAGTAAAAGAGAAGGATAATTGGAGGAATCTAGCAAAATTACCTCGCCGACGCAAGCAGCAAAGGCACTGCAGGCGAAAGTTTTGGGCAAGGAAAGGTCGGATTTGCTAGCAGCTACCATTATCGATCGAGAAGACGCGAATCAGGAGGCGGAGGCTAGGGTTTCGAAATCGAAGAAGAAGAGAGGATATTGGGAAGAGTGACGAGTAGGACGATTACGGCTACGCAACTTGGCCTCTCTCTCGACTCGAGTGTCTGTTTAGTAAAGATCGTCCCTCTCTCTCTCTCTCTCTCTCTCTCTCTCTCTCTCTGCTATGAAAAGTAAATAATGGGCGCTTCACTTGTAATTTATACACACGTGTGTGACCTGTTGATAATATCTCATCCATCCATTAATATTCACTAATCACTGTTTCTGTGTTATTATCTTTGATTCCAAAAGTCAAATCAATGACACGGAGCCACGGTTTCTCGAATTTTTTAAATTTATTACTTCTTATTTTCTTCTTTTTTATATACATCCGTAATCTGATTTGTTCACTTTAAATTTTTGTTATTTTCTAGTGAAGTGTGCGCCATCTTTTAGCATCTTCTACACGATGAAAACTGCCTAATTTTCTTATATCATCAATGTAGCCATAATAATGTTTCATCGTTAATAGCTTAATACTTATATCTCTTTTGACTAATTTTGAAGAACACGTTAATCACTCTTTTCGTATACTTGTTTACCCTAAAACGATCTTACACTATAATATCCAAAAGAAAATAAAAATACTCCATATGAAAAAGATGTGCTACAAACGTGACGAACTCTCGTATAAATTATCCCATACATAAAAAAAGAGCAAAACAGTAAAATGAAAATATATTAATATAAAAATAAATATATATTACATAAACACACTGGCGAATATTAAAAACTGAAAACAAAAACACTCAGCTTCGGCGAATTTCACGGTGACGGTGGCTATACCAGAAGACAAACCAGAACATGGTCAACTAGTCCCCTCAATTACCTACAGATCAACCCTTTCTCTCTTTCTCTTTCCTTTATTCTTCTGATCTTTGAAATTTCCTTTTTTTTTACCGGCGACGATATGTCAGTCGCCGGAGCGATTAACCCCATACCTGTTGCACCCACGACTCGCCGCCGTGTCGGCGATTCTCTTGACGTAGTCTCCGAACGACCCTCTAATTCATCCGATTTCAGCAATACAGTTAACTTACCCGTCGTTGGATCAACGGATTTGGACGGGGGAGATGCGAGCGGCCAAGACTCGTCTCCATCTTCGGAGAGCTCAGCTTCATCCACTGGATCTCATTACCATCACGATCACCATCACGGGTTTTACAATCACCCGGCGTTTCGTTACCTTCTCCTCCGAAAGTTCTGGATTCCGTTTGGTGGTGGATCGACGGTTGTGATTGGGCAAGGGTTTAGATCGGGGAGGAACGTGGGTCGTCGGATCTTGGGTCTACTCATGCTGCTAGTGGTCGCGTCTGTGTTCCTTAGGGTCTACCTTATGGGTGGTGTGGGCGTGGTTGATCACACTCGTTTGAATGAGTTTGTCGTCGTTAGAACGCTTCGCGATGATTTGGCTATGGCTCAACGTGAAGTTGCGGAGAACCAAGCTTCTTCTCAGCCAATGCGGGTTCTCGAAAAGCTTCCCGTGAGTATATTTTTCTTCTCTATAGACATTAAACATTTAGGGATTTAAAAAACCAATCTTTGTGATCAGTTGAGGAATACTCAAAATCTGCAATTGCTTACTTAATCAGATACTACTAGTACTTGGAATCAATCCTTTTTTTGTGTGACTTCCTGCTAACTTGTTTGAGGGTTTTGTTGAACAGTTCTCTAGAAAATCTCTAAAAATTGTTCTGTTTGCATTAGTGTCTCCTTTTGGGACGAAGAAGAGGTAGTGGGGTAGGTAATAAGTTGAATTCTCAGAACAACTTTAATGATTGCACAACTAAATTATCATTGTGCAATTATAATAGCTTTTTTTAACAGTCAATATCTCGGTGGCGTTGCAATTTCTGAAATTCGTTTTGTGTGAGCTTTACTTTTTGGTTTTGGATTGAGACTTTGACGAGCAATATAGTCAATGGACTTAGGCGGCTTTGATGTGTGGATCATACCTTCCTGCAATATCATTTGACCTTAGTTTCTGCAGAGTTTATAAACTTTTCATAGCTTGCGAAGACTTGAAATGGAAACTCTTTAATCTTCTAGTTCTCTAGGTTCTGCAATATTTAATCTTGAAGTTCCAAAACAATCCAAATTGATACTGGTTGATCAACATTTCACTGCCGTTGACTAGATGTAACCCTTGTGTGGTTTTCATCTGTGTTAGTATCTAACCTGTTTTGTTGAGTTAATTGTAACTTTACTTAAATTCATTAAGTAACAAATTTAAAGTGCGAGAAGTTCTCTGTGATCAGTGTAATCGGAGGTCTTACAGGTTTTGATAATGAACTAATTCTTTATCGTTTCCTCTGTTTTTGCAATGTATGGAAGATTAAATTTTTCTGTTAGACTTCATTTCCGAGGATCTTAGTCATGGACCTTATCATTTTGTTGTCTCTTTTCCTAGATTCCAGAAATTTGGCAGAAACCTGAAAGCGGGAATTATCGCCAATGTGTGGCGCGTCCTAAGAACTATACGAGTATGTTGCTATCTTTCCTAGCCCTTCTTTAAGCAAATTTGCAGTTCTGAATTTTCAATATCTGGTGTATGTCTTTGTCTAGGACTGCACCACCAAACCAATGGGTATCTTTTAGTACACGCAAATGGAGGATTGAATCAGATGAGAACTGGGGTGAGTTTACTTCCAAAGTA